TAACGGAAACTATTTATAACTCAACATAATATATTACATACTCTCTCCCCCCAGCTATGGGTGAAATAGCTATAGCCTTGGGTGGTAAATGGTCTGGAAGAAGGAAAAACTTTGAATTCAAAACCGGCCCAGAGAGGTTTGAGCTCCATCAGGCTATCTTGCCCAGGAAACACCATTTCTGCTGTGGCTGTGGTATTTGTGGTGCATCTACGATCGTAATGAGTTACGGGATTCGTGATCGTGAATATATTACAATCAATCTTCCATGGAATATATTGCTGAGCCATATCTGTATTTAGATAATACATTATACGAACATAAACCGGATCTTTCATAAAAAAAAACGATAGATTCAACGCGTTAGTTCTTTATTGTAATGATTTTGAGCATAATTTCCACTGAAAGAGAAAGTAATTTATTAAAGCAGAAATGTATTGAAACTGTACTAATTTCAGAATACTTTAAGCTAAATTTACGTTCAGGATCATTCACCATATTTTCTTGCAAAACTACTTTTAATACAATGTGGGATAATTAAAAACAATATCAGGAGAAAATTGATAAGAAGCTGAACGAGACGGCTAAGTTCAAACTTTGAATAAAGAAGATGTCAAAAATGTAAATATTGAACGTTCCTGTATCACTAACGTTTTGATGCAAACTGTAACTGGCGTTTGTTGCATTTTTCCCATTATTTTTTCTTTTTTAATGAAGCAGATTGACTCCATAAAAAATAAACGTTATTTTGTCTGAAGAAGTTCCATCTCAGTACGAAACGCGTCACTACACAGTTTTCTGTCTTGCCATTCATTACCACCAAACATCCACCTACCTAAATTTGTTTCAACGGAAACTACAACAGATACAGCAAGCACAGTAGCAAAGTTTCAGTAATTATTATTATGCATTTCTGTTTGAACGTCCATTTTCGTAATAGGCTTCGATAACTTTAACACGTTGTTTCATTGATAATCTTTCCATGGTTGAAATTGCCAAAGACTTAAGTTGTTAAATCTGAAAGGAAAAAAAAATCATTAGGCGGTTAAACTTAATACACATTTAAAATCGGTCAAATTTATTGAAAAAGCCTTTATTAACTAACACTAATAATAAACTGTTGTAACAATAATATCAACAACGATAATATTAATAATAATCATAATAACATTAATAACAATAAGTCGAATTAACATTAACAATAGTATTAATATTAATGACAACAATAAGAATTATATGACTAATAATAATAATGGCATTGTGACAAACTTCCGGAAATTCTGCAGCCAAGCTGGTCTCGGAATACAATTCCTCGAATTCCTTTGGATCTTCTTGGTAAGGTTGGTTGGGGTGGAGGCTTGTGGTCTGGGCAGCGTACGGCCTTCATATACCATCGTCCAAGCCTTTGCCCTGGAACGGTTGCTTCAATCTCACCACCAAAGGACTGAATTTTGACCAAATAGAGCGCTATCGTGTGAGATAAACCGATGACTAACGGCATTAGTAATAAAACAATAACGCTCATAAAAAACATAGCAATAAAAATAAGACTAATAATAACAACTGCAATAATATTGCTAGCAATAACAACATCAAAAACAACATTAACAACAAAAACAGTAATAATAATAATAATAGGACTTTACAATACATACAGACGGAATAATCAAAGCTAATCGCCTTGACATCGTGATCAGAGACCATAAAGACAAAAAGTGGCTCCTTATTGACATGGCAGTCCCTACAAATTGCAATGTATCTTTGAAGATCTTCAAAAAGCTATCACAATACAAGGACCTTGAAATAGAAATCTCAGAAATGTGGCGCATGAGGACATTTAAAAATTCCATTTGTAGTTGGAGCCCTCGAATTAATTGGAAAAAATTCCAATAAACACATTGAAGGAATCCCTGATAGCCTACGCCTTAAAGAAATACAAAAGATTGTACTCACAAGTATTGCCCACACCTTACGGAGGGCTTTATCTATGTAAAATATGTGCGATTTTTTTTCAAAACTGTTCAGTGGAAAATGTCATGATGCCATTTCTGACCTTAGGTCTCTGGTCGGGACCCGGAATGAAGTGGGAATACACCATAAACCAAAACCAAAACCAAAACCAAAACCAAAACCACCACCACCACCACCACCACCAACAAGAACAAGAAGAAGAAGAAGAAGAAGAAGAATCTTTCGGCTCAGAAATCCAAACGGACACAACAAGAGATAATTAAAATTAAATAGAGTAAAAATTCTTTCGTTTAATCTCGAGCTGTTAAAAAACATTTTGTAATTCTTCTTCGAAATATTTTCCCGGAAACTAGTCTTCAGTTGGTAGGCATCACTTTGTGGAACAGCGTAGATTCTGTCATTTGCTGACGTGTGTCTGTTTCTCTAATCACTTTGTGGAATAGCGTAGGTTTTTTTCATTTGATGATATTTGTCTCTGTTCCTGTAATTAATTTATAGAATTGCGTAGATACTGTTATTTGCTGATATCTCTCTGTTCTTCTAATCACTTTATGGAACAGCATAGATTCTGTTATTTACCGATATCTGTTTGTTCCTCTAATCACTTTGTGGAACGGCGTAGATTCTCAGATTTGCTGATATCTGTCTCTGTTCCTCTAATCACTTGGTGGAACAGCGTAGATTCTGTCATTTGCTGATATCTGTCTGTTTCACTAATCACTTTGTAGAACAGCGTAGATTCTCTCATTTGCTGATATCTGTCTCTGTCCTCTAATCACTTTATGGAACTGCGTAGATTCTGTGATTTACTAATATCGGTCTCTGTTCATCTAATCACTTCATGGAACAGTGTAGATTCTGTCATTTGCTGATGTCTGTCTCTGTTCCTCTGATCACTTTGTTGAACAGCGTAGATTCTGTCATTTGCTGATGTCTCTCTGTTCCTCTGATCACTTTGTTGAACAGCGTAGATTTTTTCATTTGCTGATATCTGTTTGTTCCTCTAATCACTTTGTAGGACAGCGTAGATTCTGTCATTTGCTGATATCTTTCTGTTTCTTTAATCGCTTTGTAGAAAAGCGTAGATTCTGTCATTTGCTGACATCTGTCTCTGTTCCTCTAATCACATTGTGGAACGGCGTAGATTCTGTCATTTGCTGATATCTGTCTCTATTCCTCTAATCATTTTATTGAACATCGTAGATTGTCATTTGCTGATAACTGTCTGTTCCTCTAATGAATTTGTGGAACACAGCAGATTCTGTTATTTGCTGATACCTCTCTCTGTTCCTCTAATCACTTTGTGGAACAGCGTAGATTCTGTTATTTGCTGATGTCTGTCTGTTCCTCTAATCGCTTTGTAGGACAGCGTAGATCTTGTCATTTTCTGATATCTGTCTCTGTTCCTCTAATTACTTTATGGAACAGCGCAGATTCTGTCATTTGCTGATAACTGTATGTTCCTCTAATCACTTTGTAGAACAGTGTAGATTCTGTCATTTGCTGATGTCTGTCTCTGTCTTTGCTTTACTTTTTCGGACAAATTTTGTTCTTTTAAAGAAGTCATTGATTTTTAAATTTCTTAATGAGTTTTCATATTTTCTAGTAAAATCCTTTGTATTGTTTATTCATTTCTTAACGTACAACAACTTCCACCTTTTCTACCAGAAAATCAATATCCTCTGTATAAAGTGAAGAATCTTTTTTTTTTCCGGGAAATACTTTCAAAACGTAACGATTAAATCTCGGGTGGTCGATTCCAGTCAAAATGCCTACAGTCACGAAACTCTAAACCTTATTTTCAAATTTTTTTTTAACCAGACAAAAGCTGTTGGTATGGCAATGAAAACAACAAGGCATAAACCAAAGTCACTAACAACAACGCTACAGATTTTCTTCGCTTCTAATTAAGGACTTTTTCAACTGTCATAATGAAATCGACACGTTGAAAGATTGTAAGTTTTCAATTTTCTTAACGTTAAATCGTGTAATTTCTTTCTTGTGTTTATATTTAAATCTACTAATATATATAACAGGTTGAGTAGAAAGTTGTAGATTTTTTAATTTAACGCTCCAAATAATTTTCACATAACAGACGTTGAAATACTTTCGTTACATCTCTTTAACCCTCATATTAGATAAAAATAATTAAAAAAAAAAAAACAAGAATAGACAGATAATAAAAATCGTCAGGCAAACACAATCATAGTTCGACCAACCGATCAGAACACTTTCACAACTAGGATGTGAGAAAATAAATAAATAAATAATAAGGAGCCCAAATTTTCTTTATTTCTAAAAATAGATATTGCAACCAAAAAATTAGAAAGCTTTTACAAACAGAATAAAATTCCGCGAGCCAGTGAGAAGCGATCGGCCTTTTCAGAACAAATCTATAGATGTGTATATAAGCAGATGGAAAATCAACCAAAACCAGAGTCAATAAATTAATTTTGTCCATTCTGCGCTCATCGTAATATACAGTGTGTTTGTTTCCACTGGAGCGAGGAACAATTTAGCCGTGTAACATCATTAGTTAGTTGTGCAAATGTCGTATTTCGTCTCTGGGTATGTTACGATGAGCGCAGAATGGCTAAAATCAAATGGTCCAAATAGTACTTTCTTTTTACTAATGGTACCAAGAGAATGGGGATAAGTCATCCCAATGACATGGTGGGGGTCTTAGCTATGAAGGTTGGAACTGATGGATCAAAGGAATGAAGTTCTTTGGACTATGTGTTATGGAAATAGAGATAGAGTAGCGAGAAGCTTGCGACATTTGATCTCTGGGAAAAGGGTTGTAGAGTGGTAAATGAATCATTACCTACAAGGCCGGGTAGGCAATTTTGATCTTTATCAAGACTGCAAAGTGAGATGAACGACACTCAGCCGTGGTATTATGGCGATTCATGACAACTTTTTTTGTGAAGAAAGATATTTTCATATTTTTTACTAGCTACCAGAGATCAATGTTCGGGTTGAGGCAAATCCTATTTTTAAATTTTTAAACCAAGCAATCTCAATTCGGCCTGATGTCTGACGAAACCAAGCTGAGCAAATATTTGTCCTCCTCTTCCACTATTTCACCGTCTTGCTCTCATCTCAAATCTCTCTCTTTCACCATATTCGTCTCCTCTCTTTCACTATCTTTCTACCGTTTTTCTCACTCTTTTTCCTTCTCCCGTTTCTCTCTCTTTTTCACGATCTTTCTCTCGCCTTTTTCTCTCATTTTCCCTATCTTTTTCCTGCCTCTCTTTTCTTTAACTTTTCCCGCTTCTCTATCTTTCGCTGTCTTTCTCTCGCCCAACCTCTCTCTCTCTCTCTCTCTCTCTCAATATTCTCTTGTCTCTCGCTCTTGTTCACTGTTTTTTCTGCCTCTTTCTCTTTTACTATATTAAAATCTCTGAAATCACGATTAAATAATGGTGATTTTCTAAGCGTAGCTTAGATGTGGCACAAGGCCAAATCTATGGAGCACTTATTGAGGATCACTACTCAGTCGTAATTGTTTCAGTGACACAAGCTTTCTAACCATTATACGACCTCGAGGTACCTTACATCACCACGCCGAGGTACCTTACATCACCACGCCGAGGTACCTTACATCACCATGTCAAGGTACCGTACATCACAGTTAATGTGTGTAAAATGTTATATTTACTTTCACGGTTTTGGGTTTCATCTTCACATGTTAGTAAAATAACCCGGTGTTATGCTTTTATATAATAATTTCAAATTAAGATGATTTATACTACGTTTGACCAATTGGTAGAATTTTATCAAATCATCAATTTGTTCCATTTTCTCAGGATATATGACTTATTTAAAAATATCTAACACTGAAAGGTGCTGAAAATTTGTCGATTGGTTTGGCTTATTTTGTTTTACGGCATATCAACCTCAAAGGATTATTTAACAAGATTTTTAGGATAGGTTCGCATGAAGATAATATATATTCTTTGTAAGAAATCAGTTTGTAGATCAGGTTTCATTGTTGTATTTTTGTAAGGAGGGTTTTTGTTAAGAGTCAAATGTATTGCTGGCAATATTTTCTTTTTCAAAAAATAAATTACTGGCAGTATTTTTTTTCTCCCAAAAATGTATTGCTGCTAATATATATATATTTTTAAATGTATTGCTAGTAATATCTTTTTTGTTTTTAAATGTATTGTTGGTAATAATTTTTTCCTAAATTTAGTGATGGTAATATTGATTTCTAAATGTATTGCAGTTATTTTTTACTATAAAAACCTATTTTTACACATAGTTTTTTTTTTTTTTTTTAACCCTAGTCTGTCACTATTTGTCCATAGCTAGGCTATATAGCTAAACAATTGTTACCACTCTGGGTCAGAGTGGACCTGGAAACAACAGCAATTAAGAGGTAGTTCCATGCTTCTCAAAACCTCCCGATCAGTCTTTGCTGCCGGGTGTTGTTTATCGTCATACCCAAGACGCTTTGTCGATTGGAGCAACTTCTTAAAATCTGACCAAATATCAGGGTTTAAGTTGGAATCGCTTCCGCGCAACAACGCAAATTTTCACAAAATCAAAACATTAACTTAAAACTCGATTCAGGTCCTTAAATAGCTTTGTCAGATCAAGACTAGTAGCACTAACTATTCAGTCATTGAATACCGAATATTTCCATATAAGGAAACAGCTAATATTTCATTATTATTAGAGATGAGAAGAACAGGTATTACACTTTGATTACAGCCTGATGATCAGGAAATTAAGAAAAGCGTTACTCGAGTAGCACTGACTATTCAGTCAATGAATGCTGAATTTTTCTATATAAGGAAAATTAATAAGTGTGTTCCAATAACTTGGACCTATTTTAATGTAAATTAAATTTAAGCATGTAATGATTTTTTTTCTTTTTCTTTCAGGTTTGGTGGACATTTGGGTGATATTATTTTTCACACATAATTGCCCTGACTTAAATAACATGATCTAATAGAGAAATAAATAAATTTTCACCAATAAAACTAATTTATTTATTGCTGACTTTAATCCGTCTTAATGAAACACCCTTATATTTAATCCGTTTTTATGAAACCCCCTTTGTTACCATTACTATTTTTGTTTGGTCTGATCGAATTCCTCATAATTGCATATGCATACTGACGTTCCAAATGTCTTGTGATAAATTCCTTTCTTGACGGGTATACATATTTGGATACTTACCGGTCACAGGGATCTATCCCTGCGCTGGTAGTATCACAGCTATGACAAGCTTAGACCGGCTTAGACCAGCTCTGACCAGCTTGGACAAGCTATGACAAGCTATGACTAGCTAAGACCAGCGGCCCGAGTGAAAACACTCGGGTCCCACGTTAAAACCCGACCTTTTGTCACAACCTGACTCAGTAGGGGGTGGGGGTCAAGTAAATACCGTATGTAAAAGTAATGGTAGGAGGCGCCACCATTGGCGGATGTCATGGAAATGCCCAGACCTATGTGAGCTGTGCTTGGAATTCCCGTGAATCAATATGAACACCGATTAGGCTGCTCATGGCAAGATGACCTGAATTGTCCAATTTCTAACGGGGGGGAAGTATAGTGAGTAACATATAGATGATGGGACATACAACTTCTCTCGTTCGTATATTACGTATATATCAGGAATACTTATTGGAAGGCATTACTATTTACTATGGACAAATCAGTGGTCGAGCACGGGTCCTTGATTTTTCAGAGTTTTCCAGTAAGAATTATTTCTAGAAACAGACATGTGAAATTGGTACAAATCACATTCAAATTCAACAGAGGAGGTATCAGAAAAATAAGCAGCAGGTTAGCTCAGTTTTCTTTAGTTTTCATGGAATATGGAAATAGAAGCCCCGCCTTTTAATACAACAAAACCGGAAAGTGCTCCTAACCTGGGCTTGCAACTTTGTAAATTGAAACGTAATACAACGGTTCGGATATTTTGTGGCTGATGGTAAGGTTTTAGTGTAAATTTTTTCGACAAGGTGGTAGCGGTTCAATAATTGTGCATGGTGTATAAACGGGTTTTGTGCCCAACGATCCGATAGAACACAACATTGGCTAGTGATTGCTACTCTGCACTGATTCAAGATATTTTGTGCTCATTCATGGATTCCGTGCGCTATAACATTGATAGGTTATGCAGAATAATATACTTTGTTACCCAGAATTTATTTGAAGATGATTCTGGATGCTTCTGACTAATGATGCTGCCTAAATGTTTGCCTGACATTCACCCAATCGAGAACTTCAGCTATAGTGAAGATATCAAATCATACGTAAAATCCAGCACCTTCAAATATCAACAACCATTAAGATGACATGGATCAATATATCTCTAGAAAAATTCCAACCACGTTTGGAATCAATGTCATGTCAACTTGCTGTACTTCGTCAGGTTAGAGGGAATCATAAAACACTAGTCACATATTCCATGACTTCTGGCAGTCTTGTTGGTAAGGAAGATATTTTTACTAACCCCAGGGTCGAGGCAAAAGTCACTATTAATTTTTAAATCAAGCCTCTCAGTTTGATCTGCTATTTGACGAAACCAGGCTGAGTAAATTTCTCTTCTCCTCAACGTCTCCCTCCCTCTCTTTCACTGTATCCCTCCCCTTCTTTCATTGTCTTCCTCTCTCATAGAAAAAAAAAAAGGAAAAGCGTAGTGAAAGACAAAACCTTTTCTTTTTCACTATGCTTCTCTTTTTTTCTATAGGTCTCTTCCCCCCGCCACTCAATTTATCTTTCTCCTGCCCCTCTCCCTGATTCACTGTCTTTCTCCTGTCCCTCTCTCTCTTTTACTATTTTTTCCACCACCTTTTTCGCATTTCTCTCTCTTTTACTATCTTTTACTGTTTCTTGCCTCTATCTCTCTATCACTCTACTCCTCTGACCATTCTCTCTTTTTCATTATCTTTTTCTCGTTTCTCTCACTTACCCGCCTAATTCTCTCTTTCACTGTCTTCCTCCGGCCTTTCTTTTTTCGCTATCATCTTCCCCACTTCCCCTTCACCCTATCGCTATCTTCTTCCGGTCTCTTTCTCTTGGGCCTGCAACTTTTGAATATCTGCCATATTCAAATTATCACAGATACATTTATTTTGATTCCTAAAATTTCATTTAAATTATCATTATTAATTTTTGCAAAAATGTTTTAGCATACTTAGGTCAAATTTTCTTTTTACAACTTTTCCATATTTTATATTACAATATTCAGCCCAAATAATAAGTACGTATATTTAAAAAAAAATGTCGTTGAAACAATGAACAATGCAAGGGAAATAACTCCTTCTTTACTTTAGAAGAGTTATTTCCCTTGAAAAATGTTTTTCATACTGAATTTTACTACATATATGACCGGATATTACAATCTTCACGGTCGGGCCAAGAAAAGACTCCGAAATACATTCTGATGTTTGATCCTTTGGTAGATATTTGGGATTTTTCTTTTAGGCTGGATCGAGAACATTTTAATCTCCCTTCATAAAACACGAAAGAATTGTCCCTTTTTGAAAGTAGCCATTCTTCGACGTGATTTCAAAAACTAAAACAGTTGTTTGTATGTAATTGTAATAATAATCGTAGATAAATAATAATTTGAATTATTGTGATTGATGTTTTTTTAATTTAAATTTTGATATCTAAAAAAATATACACAACGCATTAAAAATTTTTTTTGCTATTTTTTCATTTCGTGTTTTTATCGCGATTATATTTGTTTGATTTAGATTTGATTCAGGATTATCCCACACTTGACTTTTCTAAAAAAAAAAAAAAAAAAGAGGTCGCTAGAGACGCTCCTTAAGCATGTAAAGCAACGAACATTTTTCTCCTTATTCGGTCTTTTCCAACTCTGACTGTAAGATGTAGTCGAACGTGGGAAAGAAAATGTCCCCCACTCATGGGGCGCTTTCATTTACACGATCTTACTTTTCTCTCGTGACTTTTGTATCTTTCTTTACACATGTGTCTATGACGTAGGCCTATACAAATTTCACACACACAAAAACACATTGTCTAGTTTAAATGTTTTCTATGTTTTTTTATTTGTTCTTTTAATCGGTATAACCCCAAGCAAGGCAGTACAGCCACTAGCAAGCAAGGGGTTACAGGGTGTGGAGGAATTAGGAATAGAAACATTAGTAATGAGCGGAAAGAGAAGAGTAATCAGGAAGACAATGCATAGCTATTGATATTTGAATTTAAATTTTTGCACATTAAAGTTTGCTGGTGTAGCAGACGGTGATGAGTATGTATTGTAGAAGAATACACGTGAGTTAAAATTTCCTGCTAGCCAGTCCAACTACATGAGAAATTTGGACTTTAATTAAGTCCAAAGAAAAACAAACAAGACCGATAAATATATGTAAACAAATATATGAGATAATAACAAGTTACAGGTTATAAGTTACATGCACAGTTACACGGACAGAGTGCGTGTGGTGAATATTATGTGTGTGTGTTGTGGAGAGTGTTCGTACGTAAGTGTATTGTTCTTAGCGTGTTCTCAGCATTTGGGAAACGCTGTATCTGTGAGAGCTCACATCTGCGAGGTGGTAAGGCTGAAGGCCTGAGGAAAAAAGAGATCGAGGCGAAGGGTCAGCCAGTATTTATAACCAGGGAGAGAGACCTCTGGTGAAGGGTTAAGGAGTTGAGTCGGAGCTAACTCCGACACTGGAAAGCATGGAGCTGGAAGGGAGTTCCACAAGGGAGAAGTGCAAGAAAAGAAACTGTTAGCATAGAATTGTCGGTTACAACAAGCCAGCTCAACTGTAAATTGATGAGACCTCAATGCCAGTCTAGTACAAAAAAAAAAAAAAAAGGCACAGAGAAGCACGGAGGTGGGAAAGTGACTGAAGCCGAGCCGCCAGATCAGGACCAATAATATTGCTGATTCTTCTTTTGATTTTTATCAAGGAGCTCCAGGATTGAATGCTGGTTGAGAAAGCTTCATCTCATAAAAATTCAATTTAATATGACTATTAGTATATATGAAGCAATAAAAATTGTAATGAAAGAAACACGAGCCAAGAATTAATAACGGCTGACAACGCCTCATCGAATAAAGAAACGTAGATTATTACTAATTCCTATAGAGTGAATAGTTTGTTTTTTTTAATCGGTGTCACCCCAACCAAGGTAGTAAAGCCACTAAGACGCAAGTGCTTACAGGGATTTGGGACAGAAACATTAATAATGAGCAGGAAGAGAAAAGTGTAATTAGGAGGACAGTAGATAGGAATTGACATTCCATTAAAATTTTTGCAGATTAAAGTTGGCTCGAAAGCATGGAACCGGATGGGGGTTCCACAACTGAGAAGTGCAAGAAAAGAAACTATTAGCATAGAATTTTACGGCTACATCTAGCCAGCTGAACTATAAATTGATGAGAACTCGATGTCAGTCTAGTACTGCGCTTAAAGTCATACAGTCTGGGTACCATAGCGAAGAGTTCATCTAAACAATTACTTTGAAAGGATTTACAAAAAAGGGCAACCTTATGACGGTGGGCAAGTGACTGAAGCCGAGCCGCCATATCAGGACCAATAATATTTCTGATTCTTCTTTGGATTTTATCAAGGAGCTCCAGGTAAATAGCAGGGGCACCGGACTATATATGGCAGCAATATTCTAAGCATGGAAAAATAGTAGACTTATAGATGTGCAAAATTAGTTTTTAAATATTTTCTCCTTTTATTGTAATTGTAATTTTGTTGTTGATACATGCATTTTACTATTGTATTATGCATTTTACGTATTGTTATTTTTGTTATTTTTATTTATTTTATTATTTTATATTTTATTTTATTATTTTATTATTATTTTATTATTTTATTTTATTATTTTATTTTTTCTTATTTATTTTATTTTATTTTCTTATTTATTTTCTTATTTATTTATTTTCTTATTTATTTTATTTTATTTATTTTATCTTATTATTTTATCATTATTATTATTATTTTATTTTATTTATTTTATTATTTTATTTTATTTCCTTTTATATTTTATTTTATTTTGTCATTTTACGCATGGTAATTTTGTTGTTGATACATGCATTGTCGTTTGTTTTAAATTTTTATTGTTACTCCTTTAATACTCGGATTCACATCAATAATTGTTAGGGGACGATAATCCAAGGGGACACGTATTTTCGACATAAACACAAAAAGCATTCCTGTCACTGATAATTCATGGATACCTCTCGTAGCCAAATTGGTAAAACTATGTTCATTGTCAACGAGGCTCATCTTGTAAAAGGAGATCAAACTTCGAATTGTCTTTGAAGCTCTAAGAAAAATATAGGTTATCTCCCCTTGGCAGAAAAAAAAAACTTGATAGGGAGATGTGTCTATTTATCTGACATAGTTTATTTTCATGCCCAAGACTATATATGTATGTAAATTTGTGTTAATTTTAAGCTACTTTGTTTATCCTTTTAAACATACCATTTGATATCTTTGATTTTTGTCCTCACATAAACATAAACAGTAAGGAAAAGTAAATAGCTGGTTGTTCGTTTACGAGTATGCCTGTCTGAGTTTAGCTGATCCCCGTTGCTGACGCCTGCTCAGAAACATTTCTATATTTTCAAACCCCACACAGTCAATGTGTAGTTTATACTACAGCTATGCTGCGTGGACCTTGGTTACAGTTTCTGTGAAAGAGAGCGTACAATCTGGCGTGGTCAGCAGTTTTGAATAATGCCAGAACGCTTAGACCCTCGGCCACGATGACTTGTGACTTTTGTGCTCTCGCAACTATTGACGGTTAAAAAGTTCCGTCTACTCAGTTTCGCTCACAAGGCTTGGGTCAAATAGTTTTCAGGCTGTTTCCAACGGTGCCGCACACTGGGGTCGTCTCACAAGTTACCTCCTTGACAAATCGACCACAGTGAGATTCGAACCTGGTTCTAATGGTGGAAACGCTGACGTTGTTAACCATAAAACTACGCACTAAAAAAAAAAAAAAAAACACCAACCAAACTAAACATTTGTCGACATTTCATCTTCTATCGTCTCTGATCTTAGCCTTCATTGAGTCGGTTAGACATTGGACAAATACCTCAAGCTATTTACCATGATAACGCACTAAGAGTGAGAGTGAAATCGGCAAGCCGAGTTCAAATTTTAGCCGAATCAGTTGCGTTCACTTTCGCACTAATAGCATTGAACCCAAAGGTATGATTCTATCTCTTCCACCCGTCAACTATGGGTTAGTTACCAGGGTAGACGAGGCTATCTACCCTTGTATGGCAGTTAGTTTAGAACGACGACTCTGAATTCAAAATTGAAAAGGCTACCGTAACTACACCACTATCTTTCCCAAGGTGTCAAGGTTATTCGCAGATAAGAAAATAAATCTGTGGAGAGCCATCATCGTCTACGTCTTAAAAGGACATTGCATTAAGAAAAATTACTATGACATTATATCGATAAATTATTATATACTTTGTTTATAATTAGAAAAAATATTCTAATTGGTTGAGAAAAGATAAAAATATAAAGAAAAATAACGTTTTATTAATTTTAACTAGTTTTAACTTTTATTTTAATATTTCAATAGCTTTTTATACTAGAATTCACCCAATACAAAGCTTTTTATACTAGAATTCACCCAATGCAATGTTTTTTGTTTTTTTTAATACTAGCATTCACCCAATACAATGCTTTTTATACTAGAATTCACCCAATGTAATGCTTTTTATACTAGAATTCACCCAATGCAATTCTCGGGAATCACTCAAGGGAGAGAGTTACCATTAAAATGGTAATGATGAAAAAGTTGTTAGCTATAAAAGAAAGCAGAGGTATGAGGGACTGAAGATTATAAGGATGGGGAGGATAGATAATAATCAACTTTTGAGTCGAAGAGGTTAAGGCTGTAATGTTCAAGGAAGCACCCACACGGGAATTTCTTCTAAGAAGTCTCAGTTCTTTGGGGTGGAGGACGCGGAGTGGAT